TGTGTGTCCTTTATTATCCTTTAAATGGATGTGTTTAGATCTGAATGGGCCTGAACTGAAACTGGGTGACCTGTTGTGTGTGCACGCTTGCACCTGGACGTCATGGTTGACTTCTGGTGACCCCTAGTGAGGCTTGGATGTTTCAGAGAGGTGACTTGTATTCCTTGCCTCTGCATCCTGGCCCTGGTATACCTTGGAGGTCTCCCAAACAAGTCCTTGCCAGTAGCCCTGCTTAGCCTCTGACAAGATCAGGCTTGCCTGGGTTATCCAGGTCAGGGCTAACTTGTTTTCAGTGTCATTCGAGAAGTATCTGATTGTCCAGACCCAGAATATAATATGCATTCTCTCATCTGCCAACCTGCAGTGCCTTCCTTCCATTTGAGTTGCGGAAGGGCTAGAAATAATGTAGATGAACATCTCTCTTAGCAATTCATTGTAGGAGTACTATTCTTTTAACGTTCCACCAGAGAAGAACTTGCAGTTCATTGGATAGTTATCTCCTCTTTTAAAAAGGACTTCTGTTATTAAATGGAGGCTTTATTCTAGCTTAACATAAAACTTTTTTGTTTTGTTTAATTTCATTTAATTTCTGTAATATTTAGGGGAAATGGTGTTGGAAACAATGTTTGGCTTCCTTGGCTACTCCAAGGAACACATAAAAGAAAGTCAGTCCGGAGTATCTTTTAGGGGAACTTTATTGACAATAAAGGGAGGTGAACAAAGGCGAGCTCCACTCAACATTCCAAACAACCTCCATTTATCACTTCTTCCCGCCGGCTCCACCCTGTCCTGTTCCTTACTACTGTCTTGCAAGGCATGCCAATGCAATTGTCTCCATCTTGCTGACTAGAAAGAGATCACCAGTGCAATTCAGGAAGTCTCTGCCTAACCTGCCTCTCTTGATTAGCTATTGGCTGATCTGATGTCACATAGGACTTTTGTTGTGTACGCAGGAATATTATTTGTTGCTACCATCACCTTAAAATACTCCAGTGTTTATTGTAATGTTTAGAGAATTATTGAAGATTGTGAACTTTGAATGAAGATTAGTTATCAATTTTCCGGGCTGTATGGTTGTGGTCTTGGCATTGTAGGACCTGACATTTTGCCATCAGCTGTGACTGGTATCCTCAGAAGTATAACACAGAAGGATGGAGTACTCTCTGTGTCAAGGTGAGAAGAAAAATGGTAGGCAGGTAATTTATATCTGCTCAGGAAGGTGGGATAGGGCTGAGTCATTATCTTGTAGGAGTTCCCCAGGCTGTGACATGCTAATGGAGGAGCTTTCCTGAGGAGGTTCTTTTGAAATTCTAATATTATCTGTAGTGCTATTGTAAGATGTAGAACATTTTGTGTTTTTTCAGGACAGGAAACCATGCCCTATTTATTTTTAAATTCCCTTTCCCGTTGAAATGTGTAATGAATGAATTTCAATGGCTTCCCTGTGTAATCTGATATGGTGATTGGATGTGTTGTCCAGTCTTTCAGTGTTTTGGAATGAGATACTGTGTCCTGTTTGAGTTAGGCTATGTTCAGACACTGCTGATTTTTCCAACTGTAAGAAGTGCATTGTCCAAAATTAATATGCTCAAAATGTCTCAAGATTAGGACAGAATTGTGACTTTCTCTGGCTTTCTGAAAGATGGTGTTATTTGTTGTTAGAGGTGGCAAGAACAAAAGCGGCTTCATCTATGAATCAGCCAATGCCTGGATCTTCGGTACATTTTCTTCAAAATCAGAGTTTCAGGGTGCTATGTGACACTCTACTCCTTCTGTGAGCTCCTGTGCTGCCAAACAAGTAGGTTAGAGATGCAGACTGCTGTGCTGTCACACTGTGATAATTTCTAGCACTGTTTCCACCTAGGTTTTTGTACTGGCAAACAACATAAGTGGATGCTAATGTGCCAGCAACAATTCTTGGTACCATAAGCAGCAGTTTGGCGGCACGCAAAGCTGTTCATGTGTCACTGAAATGGGCTGGGAAGGATAAATTGCTCTTTTTTAAATCCTAAAATAGCAGCTCTCTGGGATGGAACTGGGGCATAGTCTGGTGAGTACAGGGGATGAGTCCAAAATGCACACTATCTTTGAAACCGGCACTGAAGTTCTACCAGCTTCATTTCAAAGATCTTTTTTGAAATGTCCCACCTTCCCACCATATATGGCCCCACAAGGTGACATAAAATTAATCAAAAATACAATGGATTTGAAAACACACTGCTGGTGGACAGATGTTTCAATGGCCTTGTTGTTACACCCCCATAAACACATGGATGTATGTTCAGACTGAAGGGGAATTAGCTTATGTGTTTGCACAGGGAACAGAAAACCAAGATCTTCTACCCAAAGAGGTGGTTGTGAGTAGCACACTCAGTAGGAAAAGGATGACAGAGACCAGATTAAAGGTTTAAAAAGAAACAGGGAGTTTGGTTTAGGGTGTTGGCACAATATTAGGGAGGGGGAAGCTTATCCTAAGCAAATACTGAATCAACTCACAAACAGTATTAACAACCTGAACTGCTTCAATTAGGAGCAATAGTTACATTTAACCTGTGCAAGCCAGCAGTGCTTTGGAGGAATAAAAGGGGAGAAAGAAAATATACAAGCCTGATCATGAAGAGAAAAGATGGGTGAGAGTCCTGTCCAGCAGCAGGTGATGAAAAGTAGGTCTGTGGGTGAAGCTCTAAGGTTTGAAGGAAGGGGAAAGCTCAGTGATTTCAGCAAAAGTAAGGAAGGAAACCAGTTGTGGCGTTGGTGTAACAGGTAGGATCTAGAAACCAGCTACAAAGGTCTGGGGATTGTTTATGTTTATGAATTTCAATGACTTCCCTGTGTAATCTGACATGGTGATTGGATGCGTTGTCCAGCTTTTCAGTGGCTTGGTATAAGATATTGTGTCCTGTTTGGGTTAGGCTCTGTTCAGACACTGCTGATTTTTCAGGTTGGCCCAGTCTGCAGTGTCTTTCATGTTCTTTTATTCTTGTCTGAGTGCTACGCTGTGGCTCTTAGTCCATGCTCACAACCTGGACCTTGACAGTCAGGACCAGCCTGGGATCTCTTTCTTGCATTTTGTTTTGTTACATTTAATTTTAATATACTGGTAGTAAATATTACAGAAAATTTAGTAAACTAGTAAACAGTTCCGGAGGCCTCACTTCAAAAAGGAAGTGGACAGAATGGAGCGGGTGCAGAGGAGAACGACGGGGATGATGGGGGGCCTAGAGACCAAGTCCTATGAGGAAAGGCTGAGGGATTTGGGAATGCTCAGCCTGGAGGAGAGGATGTTGAGGGGGAACATGAAGTATTTGAAGGGTTGTCACTTAGAGGAGGGCAGGGAGCTGTTCCTGTTGGCAGCAGAGCATAGGACTCCACAATAATGGGTTTAATTTAAGGGCGGGAGGGTACCGGCTGGATCTTAGGAAAAACTTTTTTACAGTAAGAGTTGTGCAACAGTGGAATCAGCTGCCTAGGGAGGTGGTGAGCTCCCCCTCACTGGCAGTCTTTAAGCAGCAGCTGGACAAACACTTGCCAGGGATGCTCTGGCTGATCCTGCATTTAGCAGGGGGTTGGACTAGATGGCCTACTCTGTGATTCTATTTATCTAAACTGTATTTCATAATTTGCTATGAGCCACTTTGGGTTGGATCCGGACTAAATTGTCAATTTCCACCAGTTTTCCCTTTCCCACTGCATAGTTCCCTTCATGTAATTTTTTAGAGTCCATTTTCAGAAGCAGCATTTCATAGAGGGTTGCAGTAGGAAGAGGAAGCCAGGAAAGTTCTGATCTGCTGATGGAACATTTGGATCCATAAATATTTTTCAATTGGTACCTTGCTGGTGCAGATCAGTTGTGATCTCTGATCCTTTCAGTGAAAAACTGGAATAGGGGATTTTAGGGAAAGTACTATAGCACATTAGGAACTGGCAGTAGTACTCCTTCAGGACTTGATGTCGCATAGAAAAATATTGGCATTTCCGTAAGCCACTAAGGCAAAGTTGTAGTGCTCTAAGCATTTTGATAATTGTTTCATGACACCCACATTGTCTGGTCACCAAAAATACAGCTCTCAGATTTGCAGAAGCTATTTACCTTTTGTTCAACGGTAACCTGTTAATCAGTAAAACTGTTCTAAATACCTGCCAGGTGAGAGAAATCAGCTAAGCTAAACAGTGGTGTGCATAGTGTGGTATGTTGCCAGGTCCCTAAGGGTGCTGAAACCTTTCAACAAGGCTTTGTCCCACAGAAAATTCATGCTGGAAGCATCATAGAGTGGAAAAGCTTGTCCTGCATTTCCAGGTTTTTGGAGATACACAGTAGCAAATGCCTGGTTCAGCAACCTGCTGTAATTTTCTTAATGGACCTGCTTGTTGAAAATATAATCCTGAACAAAATTACACACTTCTAAAACCGTTGACTTCCATGGACTTAGAAGTGCAGCTCTGTTTAGGACTAGAAAGAAAGGGTTGTTGTCCTTGCCAACAATCAGTTAACTTCATTCATTTGTAATGCAAAAGTCAGTGAGATTGGTAATCAGGTTACCAAGCAGTGTGTGAAAAGGCTTTGTTGTTTTCAGTTTACCTCCTGCGGACAGAGTATGCTCAGCACCTATGCTGGAAGATTAAAGCTGAGTTTGTTGCTGGAGGAAGGGATTCCCACCCATTATCACAGTAGGGAGATTAGCTTCCTTATGTACTTGAGCCCAGTGGTTCCCAACCTTGTGTGAGTCTGAGGAACCCTTTTTAACATCAAAAACGTTGTGAGAAAATACATAATAACAAAGATCAAAATTGCAATGCTTAGTGTGCATATGGATTCACAGGTCCCTGAAATAACTCTGTGGCCCTCACGAAGGGAACCACTGCCTTACTCCATAAATGGCAGGTACCAGTGGGTTAAAAACAGTAAGGTGGATGTATAGTTACTTCTAAAATAGATTTGTGGCTTAGTCTCACAGTTCTGACTCCTGTTTATGTCTTTCCACCTCTCTGTGTCATTTCAGAGGTTTATACTTTGCCTTCAGCACTGCTGCACAGCAGAGGAGCACAGGAGATGACTGTGGTCCAGAAGATCCTCGTGATGAACCTAAACATCTCCTAGATGATAATACTTCGGAGCACAAAACCGTCAAATTGGAAGAACAAGTCCATGCCTTAACAGTAAGTACCCTGCTCGGGGCACTCTCTTAGCCAAGAAATGCAGCATCTTTTAACTGCCAAATTGTCTTTAAATGCTTGTGGTCCGCATGCTCGTTTTCAGAGTCAAATATGCCTGCCCAGGCCTTTTAAAGCTGGGCTGGGTGACCTGCAGTGCCTCTGAGCGGCTCCTTTCTTTCAAAGGAAAAGCAGTGCTCTGTGGGATGGTGTCTCCTGCTGTCCCTCTTGTCCTGCACAAAACAGCTCCTGCAGCTGTGATATGCAGCTCTGTTGTCCACCATCATCATTCAACAAGAAAAAACAGCTGGTCTAATCTAAGTGGTATACTTATCTCAGAGACTATGTTGGTGTAGACCTCTTAAAACACATGGACAGTAGTTGCTACAGACATTGAGTACATTTGCCCCCCCAGTCAGAGTAATGAGACGGACAACAGTTTGGATCAAACAAGGGCCACTTTATTAACTATATAGTTTGTTAACCACAAAACGTCAAGGGAGCATTTCCGAAATAGCAGAACAGACAAGGCAGGTGTCAGGCTGACCAGCCTCCTTGTCTAATATGTGGGTGAGCCACCAACCCCGGTCTTGAGCCATTAATCTGGCTTGCGACCAGCAGCCTAGCCACTGGTAGCCTCCCAGGAGCGCCTACCCCTGAAACCATACCGCTTGCAGAGAGGAGCTTACCCAAGAGGTTCCCAGAGGGAATCATCATTCACCGCCCAGGGCCTTAATAACCCGCAGGCCATTCCTGAAGACCCCCCGGTTCCCAAAACAAGGAACGGCTTAAGATGCTCACCATTTTCCGCTTCCTTATCCCTGCACTCTTCTGCCAAAGTGACCAACCTATTTAACAGCCACGCCCCAACCCGTTGTTCCACTGCCCCAGTGTAAGGTAGGCGAAAACACCACCACCCCATTGCCAATCCTGGGTAATGGTGAAAAATTCCTACCTGGCCCCCTTGGGCGACCAGCCTTACTGCACCAGTGTAAGTTAGGCAAAAACACCACCACCTCATTGCCAATCTTGGGTGATGGTGAAAAATTCCTACCTGGCCCCGCTTGGGCGACCAGCCTCAGCCTACACTAGAAACAGGGCGGGCGGGCGAGCACGAGGCAGCAACTGCCTGGGCGGGAGCGGAGCCGAGCCTAACTAGGCTGGCTCCTCCCCGCCCACACCCCAGCGCACTGTGCTGCGGCGCTGTTGCTGCCCCGCCCTCCTCCGTGGCGGCGACTGGGAGCTCCCTTGCCCCCCCCCCAGTCAGAGTAATGAGACGGACAACAGTTTGGATCAAACAAGGGCCACTTTATTAATTATATACAGTTTATTAACCACAAAACGGCAAGGGAGCATTTCCTAAGTAGCGGAACAGACAAGGCAGGTGTCAGGCTGACCAGCCTCCACGCTTTTTTTTCCTGACACGGCCACCTAACAACCTAAGGCGGCCCTGATCCCTTGCTGAATGTCCTCCAAAAATAACTTGTTGCCCTCGTTTGACAAGTGAATACCGTCCTCCCTATAGAGGTCCGTCCTACCGACCACTATTCCAGGGTGTGGTAAATATCGACCCAGACCACCCTCCATAACCTTCTGGATTTGTCTGTTCACCTTGCGACGAGCCCAGTCGATGCATCTGGGATCCCCCAGGTTGCACCATACGTGCCGTGGTAAAATTGCGGACCAAATTACTTGCACCCTGGGCCATCTTGCCCGTATCAGTTTCAGGCCAAGATCATTGCCACCCAGGTGCACCAGTAAAATATCCGGAGGCGGCCCACGCCGTTCCTCAAACAATAGGGGAGTAACCTGGGCCAATGCATGCCCCTCCTTCCCCACCATTCGACCAACGCCAACTCACTCAGCCCCAAGTGAGAACCAAACGTCGTCCTCTTGGCCTGATGAGCGGCCCAAAAAATCATACTGTGGCCGCAGATGGTGACTCTCCTCCATGCCTGCCAGCCCACAGCACCTGAAAAAGAACTGTTTTAGAACGTGTTCCACTCAAAACTTGCATTGACGTACATACCCCTTAAAACTACGGGATCTCCATCGTCCAATGCCTTGTATGTCCTCCCCCGAATACCCCATGGCAGCAGCCGTGGAAGCAGCTCCAATTCTAAATGAATGGGTCCCAAAACGGAACCCGCCTAGACCCAATTGATTAAGTGCCCTCCGCATCAAGTGTCCAAAATTGAAATTTTGACAGAGGGGACGCAACCTTATGCTGAAATAATGTACGAGACTCAGGTAATGGCGTACCACCACCACTGGGCATAATTCGGCTTTAGAACAACGGCCCAATTCTATTACTGAACCCTTACCCCCTTGATCAGTCTTTGACCGCCGGATAGTAATGGCCAAACTAGCCCCTCGGACCGTGATGTCTGCAAATCTTGTAGCCCTGTTTGAAGTGTCACTCCGTGAAGCAGGGACGAGCTCGCTAATACGCAGAGCTCCAAAAAATGCTATTAACGCTGCGGCATGAAATAGAGCAGCCTTGTATTCATCCGCACAAAGGCCAGGCCACAACGCCCACAGGCCCTTCAACACCGACGGAGTCAACGGCTCCCTGTCATCTCGCTGCTTCCCGCAACCACCCATCCAACATCTTTTTGACACCGAAGTCGGTCGTCCTGTCCGCATGCCCAGCCGCTTTAGCCGCGTAGGCGAGGGAAGCCAGCCTGCCCCTTATAGAGCGAACTGACAAGCCCTTCCGCTTCAAGTAAATGCAAAACTTGCATAAATTGTGGAACTGGGATGGGCCAAGCGTGCCGTAATCCAGCCTCTTGTCTAAAGGCGACAAATTGTTGACCGTCCCTCATGTATGCATTCCACGTTGAAGGGGCAAGGGCCAAACCTATTGCCCGCTCAGCTTCAAGCCTCCAATCTGCCAAAAAGTGGGAGGCATCCTTACCGGGCATTCGTCCGCTTCCAGGGCCAGTTGACAGAATCTCCCCATCTGTTTTTGAAAGAGAGCGTCAACGACCCCATTACTCACACTCGGAACATGCCTAGCGCGAAACAGTATGTTATTCCTCAAACATAGCAATGTATATGCCCTAACACCATGACCCGCGCTGATTTGGATGATAATGAATTTATTACGTGTACTGTGGCCTGATTGTCGCACCAGAAGTGGACCGTATGGTCAGCAAACTCAGCTGTCCAAATCCCCACTGCTACCACAATCGGGAAAAACTCCAAAAAGGTTAGGTCCCAGCCTTCCCGGAACCAATCCTGCAGCCAGTCCTCCGCACACCAATGCTGCACTGTGTCTATTTCAATGCCTAAATAAGTCAAGATGGGTGTCGGGCCTTCAATATTTTCCTCGGCGAGGGGAACTCCCAGCTCTGCCGCCAGTTCCATGAAACTGGGCAGCAAAAATTCACACTGCCACGTCTTCCCACGCCCCACAAACAAAAAATCATCCAAATAGTGAGCTGTAGAGCACAACCCTGTTCGCGAACGCAAGGCCCATTCCAAAAAGGAACTACACCTCTCGCATGCAGCACGAGACACAGAACAGCCCATAGGAAGGGCCCTATCCATATAGTAATATCCCTCAAAAGCAAAACCTAGTAGATCAAAATCTGCAGGGTGAACTGGCAGTAGCCTGAAAGCTGACTTAAGGTCGCACTTTGCTAATAGTGCGCCCCGGCCACAAGCTCGCACTACATGACCTGGTCAAAGGACGTATATTTCACTGAACAGAGCTCATCTGGAATAGCGTCATTCACCAAACCACCCCAGGGTACGATAAATGATGAATGAGGTGGTACTCACTGGGGGCCTTCTTTGGTACAATGCCCAAAGAAGACACCCGTAAATTAGGCACCGGGGGGGGAGGAAGGAAAGGCCCCCAGCACTCTCCCTGCCTTACATTCCTTCCCTATTTTATTTTGGACTACACTTTCCATCCCTTTTACTGACTTTAAGTTGGGAGCCCTTAGGGGGCTCCGTTCGCCTTGAAAAAGGTATCCTAAACCCAAATGAAAATCCCTCCAATGAATACCTACTGTCTTGTTTGTTCAGGTAACCCCGCAACAAATCTCTCAACACCTTCAGTTTAATTGGGCTGGGCCCCTTTGTCAGTAGCGGCCCCATGGCCTCCTGTCCCACCTGGCTGCTTGCCTCCCCTTGTTCCAAAATGCCCTTTCGGTTTGGGGCAACCGGAAAGTGGATGAGGCCCCGCGCACAGGGGGCACTCGTGCCGAAAGGAACAGGACTTCCTACCACAAGTCCCCTGAGAGGTAAACTCCCAACACAGTGGGCAC